GCCCTTCTCCTGCCTCAGCCTCTCGAATAGCTGGCATGTGCCACCACACCTGGCTAATTTTGTATTTTTAGTAGAGATAGGATTTCTCCATGTTGGTCAGGCTGGACTTGAACTCCCAACCTCAGGTGATCTGCTCACCTCAGCCTCCCAAAGTGCTGAGATTACAGGCATGAGCCACTGCACCCAGCCTAAAAGCTCTGATTTCAAAAAAAATTTTTTGGTCAGAACATGTGACTCTTTATTAATTTCCTTTTTGCCTTGAAAGAGCAAAGAAAGTTAAGTCAATTAAAATTTATGTTCTAGAAGAAATTTCATAAATCACCTGTTATAATTTGTTGCTATAATGTTAATCACTTACAATTCATTTTATCTGAGATGTTTGCTACCTGGAACTGACATATAGGCAAAAATTATCAGGTGTTTATAGACTCTAAGAAGAGCTGGAAAGACTAATTTTATATCTCCATTTAAATGATCAGTGTTCAGGGTAAGGAATATGGTGCTATTCAGGTGGTTTTTCTCTTCCAACTTACTGTCACATTCCAAGCTGTAAGCACTTTTATTTTGTGGCATATCTACCACGAAAGGGTAAGTAAAACACAGAAAATAGGTGTTGACAGGAGACAGGGTAGATGTTTATAACTTGATTTGGCTCAGTAAACATTTATTGATTATCTTGCTATATGTGTTAAAAATATTCAAATGACACTTGTTAAAGCACTGTAAGGCAAACTTTATTTAAGGTGAGGGTGGGTCTATTGTAGTTGATATGGGGACCACTGTGACAGAAATTTACAGTAGTAGAGAGAGTTTGGGCTCAACTCAATATAGCATGGACAAGTGGGAATTTATAGGCAATGAGCAGGGTGTGGTGCATTGGGGGGGTGTCAGTGGATGGAAAATTACTAAGAGAAAACACCATGAATAAGGAGGAATTCTGGCTAAATAGACCTAATAGGATTCTTTCTGAAGACAGGCCAGGGTGATGAGACATCACCTGGCGGATGGTGGAGGATGAAGAACCTGATGAGCTATTGATAGTAATCAAATATTGTGGGCAGGGGGTTCTGACTAAACTGATTTAGTGGGATTTTTGCTAAAACTGGATTTTACAAGAAAGTGCACAGGTGGGCCAGGGAGAAGGTTCAGGAACCTGACTAGATTTTGGTCAAACAAAGAGTCTTTGTCATATGTATCAATTATTAATTGGCATAATTCTGTATTAACAAAGGTCATTGATTTATAAAAAGCATTTATTTAGCAGTCAAGATTATGGGTTGGTGGATGATTTTGATTGGCTAGTTGTTGTGATCTTTGGTAAGATCTCTCAATAGGAGTTGAGGACCAAGTGACTATGGAAGGTAAATTTGAACTCTATTTGAACATGATGCATTGGAATGATGGATGGAAGTAGTCAGAAAATTTTGGCATGTGGGAGCATAGATTAAAGAATTTACTATGGCTAACCTTAATCTTTTGCTTTACTTGGCAAAAATCAGAAGTTTTTTAAAATAGAGTTTTATAATGCCAATCACCTCAATGCCAATAACCTTAATTAATGTTAAACTGTTTTTTCATATGCAACTGCAAATTCTGAAAGACCTACTCAAAGTGGAGGGTCAACTAATATTTGACTTTTCATGAATCCTTTGAGATTCCTTTTTTTTTTTTTTTAATTGGGTAGTTTACTTTGTTTTTCCTTGGTCACTTTTGCTGTCATCAGTTGGTGAGAACATCCAAGGATCACAATATTTTAGACCTGAAATGGACCCTGAGACCATTTGTTCCAACATTCATTGGTAAAGGAAGGAAGTGAAGCTCATGTAGATTTATTTTCAATCATGTGACAAGTTAGATGGGAGCAAAGGAATAGAACCCTGGACCCTTAGTTCTCATTCTGTTGGTTTCACCAGTGGTCTGGTTTTGTTATTGACATGTTGTCTGGTTTTGTTGTTGACGTGTTGTCTGGCTTTGCAAGGAAAAGAATGGAGAACTTGATTGGAATTGGAAAAAATTAGTAATAGCATTTACATAGTAAATGGTATTTTGAAGACAATTTTAGGTACTTTATCTTATAGTTGAAATGAATAGCTGAGAGAATCTGCTGTCATATTTAAGTATTATTTCTAGTTTTGAGGTCTCCTCCTTTAGAAAAAAGAAATTATAATGTTCTTCCTCATGAAATTGTTATAAGTGGTGAACAAGTTACTACACTTATTAGTGTCTGGCACATATTAGTTTTTTATTGTTGCTGTTAGTAGTATTGTTATTGAGTGTTGTTATTTGTTTCTACTTTATAGATTATGTGTATTGGACTGTGTGGAAAGTTTCACTGTACATTTTTGGTTTGGGTGGGGGAAGAAGAAAAGATGCAGAGAATTTAGCCCTTAGAGTGCTCCCTGTCTGAGCTTAGGGATCTCAGCCTCTGACCTAGTGTTTACCAAAAAAGACGATCAGGTTATTTTGACTTACTTCTCATTTACTGTTGGTCAACAACTAGAAATAGAAATCTTGAAGAGATCCTCTTTTTTTTCATCCACTGCTCCCTTTACCAATTTAGGCTTTCATTACTTTGCGATGTTACATTTTAGCACTAGATTATTTGGTGCCTTCAGCTTCTTGAGGAAATGGAATTTATCCAAGAATTTCTAAACCAGGGGACACTTTACAAATATGACTCAGTGAAATAGCCATCATAGCAAGCTTTCAGCGAAACAAAATATGGAGAAATCACCTAAGTTTAACATTGCAAAAATATCCTAAACTTTGCGGTTTGTTGTTCTATAGAAAGGAAAACCACTGCTAATTTTCCACTATGTTAAAATAAACAAGCAACAGAGGCAACTTGAGAAAGGAAGTTTCCAGAAGCAGATCACCCCAGACAGTGCCTTTTTATTCCGAAGTATGGCATCTCCAAAACCTCCCCAGCACCGTTTTCATTTCCACTCAACCATTCTCTTTGCCTTTCTGCTGTCATTGATACATCCTGAAAAGGAACAACAGAAATAACAAGGGTTGGTCATGGTTGAGTTGGCCTGAAAATAGTAGACTAGAGGCAGAGCTGAGAGAATGAGCAGGGCTTTCTTTGCCTTTTAGGACCGCAGATCCAGTGGACACTGAATATCAAAGTCAAGGACTTTCCCTCAGAAAAATACACACAAAATCTTGTGTACAGTTTCAGGAAGGAGTAGACTCCTTAAAGCCCATTTTGGGACAGTAGCTATGCCCGTGGGTTGTGAGAGCTGACAGTATCTCTGGCTTTCTTCCCTGTCAAGCTCTCTGTTGGCAGCTAAGGAAGATGAAAGGGATTTAAATGCAGTGCTTGAGGATGGATCCAGTCCAGAGCTTGCTAAAAGCCAACTCTTTTGTGTTTTTTGGACTCCTCATTTTCTCCACTCATTAAATACTTGAATGGCCAGATCTAAGCATATATCACTTCCACAGCTCTTTATGGACCAGGCAGAGGAAAATGGAGGTGAGAAGGAAACGTGAGGCTCTCACCTCATCACCGTGCCATTCGTTATGAAAGAGAGGAGCCACGTGTGTTTTGCAAGCAATCCTCAACGTGGATAGACATTTCTTTGTAAGATTCTAACCCACTCTGGTTTTACAAAAGGATTTCTCACTTTACAGAACATTCCCTTTGTGTAAAGATAACTCAAGCAGATTTTAATGCAAAGTTTGTTGGGGAAAACCCCTTTGAGGAAAAATTGGATTAAAAAAAGAGAAAATAACAATGAAAGTGAGTAAAGGAAATAAGGATCAGGTGGGAAATGCTTGCTGGTTGATGTGATTTGGTTTGACTTTTATTTTTCCCCTCCACTCTGTATTTTCAGTGTAGAATTTTGCGTGTGGGTGAAAATGACTTATGACTTATTTTATGTTTTCATTTGGGGCTTGTTAATAGCCTCTTTTGATTATCTTTCATCATCTTTTTAAAAAGCCAGCCAACCACATGTCTTATACGTAAATATCCAGAGCTCCCGCTTCATATGAGTGAGTAAGCTACAGCAGGGCAGGATCCACACCAGTTCCTGCCCCTCTAGAAGCTGACTTTCTTGTAACCTAGTCTGGTTCCAAGAACCACAGGCAGGTGAGAAAATTAGTCACTGCGTCTAGGTGAGCTCTAATCCCAACACAGATACTTATAACTTTGTTGCCTTACAAAAATTACTTAACTGGCTGGGCACAGTGGCTTGTCCCTGTAATCTCAGCACTTCGGGAGGCTGAGGTAAGTGGATCACCTGAGGTCAGGCGTTCAAGACCAGCCTGGCCAACATGATGAAACCCCATCTGTACTAAAAATACAAAAATTAGCTGGGCGTGGTGGTGGGTGCCTATATTCCCAGCTACTCGGGAGGCTGAGGCATGAGAATTGGTTGAACCTGGGAGGTGGAGGTTGCAGTGAGCCAAGATCACGCCACTATACTCCAGCCTGGGCGACAAGAATGAAACTCTGTCTCCAAAAAAAAAAAAAAAAAATTACTTAACATCCCACAACCTTGGCATCTTCTATTTTTAGAGATATTTTGTGAGTGGAAGACATTGTAGCCTTCAAATTATATTAAGTAGGTAAATAAACTCTTATTTTGTTTAAGATTATCCCTATGACCAGTGTAACCGTATCGTTTTCAAAATGACTGGGTTATTTGGGATTTGATGGGATAGTAATTTTTTATAGTTAACGGAGCTAAGTCCTGTTCTAGATATTCTCATTTATTCCTCCCAACTTTCCTATGAGGTAGATACTATTATTATCTCTTTTTTATAAGTGAGTAAAATAGATGTACAAAGAGGTTCAGAAACCTGCCTGAGGTCTCTGGGGCTCTTAGCAGCAGCAGAACTGGGAACGGAAACCCAGGTGTTCTGGCTCCAGAGGCTCTGCTCTCAGCATTGTTCTCTGAAGCCTTCTTTAGAGCTGCAGTGTCTTCACCTTGAAGGGAGAACATTGTGTCTGGTAGACACACTTATCTAAGACTTCTTTTTCTTTCCCATTTTAGGTATCTGACAGCAAGCAGCAACAGAAATTTTCTGCTTACCATGAGACCATTTTTAAAAAGGGCCATTTTGGTCCTAAGTTATGTAAGTATATATATATGCTTTTGAAATATGTGATAAGGAATGTTTTCACTCTATCTCAGCTTGGAGATGTAATTGAGATTATTTAATAGAATTGGTAATAGACTCTAACATCATGACCTTGGGATCAAACAGTTGGCATGCCTTATTGTAACAAAGCGTCAAAAGGTATATATGAAAGCATTCCAGGTGTATGTGGATTTGATGGCATGGACAATGTAAATTGCAGTATTCTATGAGTCCCTTTCAAGATGTTGAGACTGAGTTTTCTCAAGAGGAGGCAGTGAAAACCTGACTGTATCAGTTGTCTATTGATGCATCACAAACCACCCCAAGCTTTAGTAGCTTAAATATAACAGCCCTGTATTTGTCCTACCTGCTTTAGTTTGGGCAGCAGTCAGCTTTTCGGTTCTCCTGATCATCCTGATTTGGGATTGAGGTTACTCCATCAAGTTTATTCAGCTGTCATCTAAGCCAGGTCATCTCCATTCTCCTCTACATGTTATCTCATCCCAGAGAGCCTCTCCCTGTGGCTTCTTATTCCAGAGGTGTAGTCAAGACTTCCTTGCAACATGGCAGCTGGTTTCTAAAAAAATGAACTAAAATTTGCTGGTCCTCTTAAAAATTAGGCCCAGAACTGATATAACATGCCTTCTTCTGTTGGTCAATACAAGCCACCCACAAGACTAACTCAGATTTAAGGGAAGAGGTGATTGACTTCATTCCTGGATAGAGGAACAGAATGGACATGCAAAAAAGGTGATTATTGGTGGCAGTCTCACTGAATCTTCTTATTTTCTGAAGGTGCTTGTCATTTTGTACTTCCGTCTGTGGATAATGGGAGGATCTATGCCCCTCTTTTCAGAGCAGGATAATCCAGCTTCATTTTCGCCTTACATTCTTACAAGGTTAGTATAATTTTTTTTTTTAAATTTTACTTGGTATTTATTAGATAATTTTGAGTAATCTTAAATTATAGGCTGACTTTGCATATTAAGGAAAGACTGATTGTGATCTATCTTCCACGTGAGAAGGAAAGAAACTCTATACATTTGGAATTCTTTTCAATAGATGAAACTATTTGGGCAGTATTATTGCTATTGTTTCCTTTGGTGTTTATTTGTTTATTCAACACATATTTTACTGGACAATGTCTTAGTTTATTTTCTGTTGCTATAAAGAAATACCTGAGGCTAGGTAATTTATAAAGAAAAGCATTTATTTGGCCCACTATTCTAATGGCTGGAAAGTTAAGATTAGACATCTGGTAAGGGCTCAGACTGATTCCATTCATGGCGAAAGATGATGGTGAGCTGACTATGTGCAGAGATCACATAGAGAGAGAGGAAGCAAGACAGAGCAGGGAGGTGCCATGTTCTTTTTTAACAGCTGGCTCTCATGGGAACTAATAGAGCAAGGACTCACTCACCTCCAGTGGAGGACACTAACCTATTCATAAGGGTTCTGCCCACCTCACCCAGACACCTTCCACTAGGCCTTCAGTGCTACCACATTAGAAATTACATTTCAATATAAGATTTGGTGGGGTTAAGTAAACCATATCCAAGCTATAGCAGGCACTTACCAATAATAACAATCTATTGAGTGATCTATATGGCGAATGTTACAGAATAAGTGTAGAGAAGTGTACAAAAGTTGACTGGACATCATAACCATTTGTAAAATTAAGTAAATGGGGTGGTTGGAAGTGGCAAATAGAAATGAACAACAGTTTTTGCTAAGATGCACCTAATTATGCCATTTGTCCTTAAGAGTTCTGAGGGTTTGGGGTCAAGAAGTGATGCTGATCAGCAGCTCTGATTCATTGAATAGGATTTTAAGTCCTTAACTATTTGCTGTGATGCATAGCTGAGGCTTCCAGATATAATTATATTTGACAGTTTTAATATCTTCCTTTAGAATATATTATTGCTATAATATTTTAAGAATTAAGATGCCTTTCTTTCAGCTGGAACCACCATCTTCTAATAATTTGCTGTAATGAGGAACACAAAGGGAAAGAAGAAAGGCATATGATATATGTTCTCTAAGCCTTTTAGAAAACATGGAGTTGTTCTTTTAGCCATATGCATGCAGATGTATAAGAAAGGTGATATTGTAGACATCAAGGAAATGGGTCCTGTTCGAAAAGGAAGGGTCCTGCAAATGTTTCCATGGCAAAACTGGAAGAGTCTATAATGTTACCCAGCCTGCTGTTGGCATTGTTATAAACAAACAAGTTCAGGGTAAGATTCTTGCCAGGAAAATTAATGTGCGTATTAAGCACTCTTAGAACTGAGATAGCTTCCTGAAATGCGTGAAAGAAAATGGTTAGAAGAAGGAAGCCAGAGAAGCACACTTTGTGAATCAGTGGAATGGCCCTGGCCTGCTGTAACCTATTTCCTGAGAAGTCATGACATAATAGATGTAAAAGATAATAAATAAAAGACCTGTAGACTTTAAACAATTAAAAATATAAAAAATTAAGAGGCACTCTTCTGAAATGTTCATAGTTTTACATACATTTAATGTTATCTAATATCATTTTCATGGTAGCAACCTTCACTTTTTTCTTGTATTTGCAGAAACATGATAAATCTTAAATCTTGATATATGGGTCATTTACATTTTAGTTTACCCATATCGCTTAGGGACAACAGATTGGTAGATTTCGGATTTTTTTGGTTGTTTGTTTTTTTGAGACGGAGTCTTGCTCTGTTGCCCAGGCTTGAGTGCAGTGGCATGATCTCGGATGACTGCAAACTCCTTCTCCCTGCTTCAAGCAGTTCTCCTGCCTCAGCCTCCCAAGTAGCTGGGACTACAGGAACATGCCACCAAACCCAGCTAATTTTTGTATTTTTATCAGAGAGGGGTTGTCACCATGTTGGCCAGGCTGGTCTCGAACTTCTGACTTCAGGTGATCCACTTGCCTCAGTCTCCCAAAGTGCTATGATTACAAGTACGAACCATCACTCCTGGCCTAGATTTTGTTTTTCTGCCTCGCAGTGATCTTTGCTTTATATCATTAATTAACTTCTATGTTGGAATTAATAAATTTCTACTAATTTCTTTGCCTTGTATGCTTTTCTTTATTATTTCCAGTATTTTCTTCTCTTTCTTTATTATATTTATTTTTCATTTAAAAAGGATATCTTACAATTTGATTATCACATTTTTGTAATAAAACTATGTCACGATTGTTTTCATTACTTCCAACATGTGTTTGTATTAAATGAACCTTGAATATGCTCTCAGAAATAATGTGATATCCAACTTCTGGTGTTGGCTTACTTCTTCTCAGCAGTGTAGAACCTTTAGAAATTGTTGTTTATATCTTATGTTTAAAAATTCTTGTTTAATATGTTCTTTAATTAAGTTTGACTTCTCTAACCCAGCTTTCTGTTAATGTTACAATCTGCTCACCATTTTTAGATCTCTCTCCCTGGCCTTCAAAATCTCCAGAGCTCCTTGTGCAGATATTTTTATCTGTGCTAGCTCACTAAGGTATTGTCTTGTGTTCTATAGCTCCTTAAATAACTACCTTTGTCTTTAAGAGAAAAACCAACTTCGCAATATAGTCTTGCATAATGGCTCCATTTCCTTTAGCTTTGGGTTGGTTTCATTCCAAGACTTCTTATCTCCTGAATTTGAGCATTCATTCTTATCTTTGAGTTAGACATAGCCTGTTCCTTGAGCTTACCAGTCTCCAAATGCCAAGATGTACAGTTAAAAAGAGACGGGGAGGAGAACAAGAACATACTGCTGTCAATTCACCAACCAATTATTTTATTCCTATCTCATGTCATAAGTAAACAAGTGTGTACCCCAAGGTCCTTGGTGTTAGGAAAAGTTGCCTTTGATATCTGACTCTCTGCTCTCCTAGCTGTAACATCTTAGGGACTAGGGGCATTAGTTAGTGGAAGTTTTTATCCCTGCTGGCAGGAAAAAAAAATTCTTTGGTGTGAAACTCATGGCAAAATTAGTACCTTGAGCCAGCCGTTTGCTAGATTCTGCCTTTCACTTCCAAGGTGTATACATGCTTTTCAAAGGGATCTGCTACGTATTTTGTCCAGGACTTTCTGTCTGTGAATCAGTCCACCCAAGTGACTATAACTCAGGCAGTTCAATTAATAAAAAGTGATGGAATAGAATATTCTAATACCCATATCTTTATATTCTTCCTTTCCTTTCTTTTGAAAAACATCTTTCTGTTCTTCTGTTTCAAATATAAAATATCAGCTTGGCCAAGATGGTGAAAACCCGTCTCCAATAAAAATATAAAGATTAGCCAGACATGGTGGTGGGTGCCTGTAATCTCAACTACTTGGGAGGCTGAGGCAGGAGAATTGCTTGTACCAGGGAGGTGGAGGTTGCAGTGAGCCGAGATCATGCCACTGCATTCCAACCTGGGCAACAGAGCAAGACGCTGTCTCAAACAACAACAACAACAACAAATACAAAATATGTAGATACCTAGATAAATTTCACTGACATTTGTCATGAATGGCTTTTCTCATTCCTCTGAGATGGCCACATTAGAACTGACTCTTTTGAGCATCTAGAAAATGGTCTTTAATTCCTTTCCCAAGTAAAGTTTCTACTCAGCTGGCATAGTTCTTTGATGTCTGATAGGCTGATGAAACTTGAAGTGGACTGCCTTGGTTTGTTTCCTAGTTCGACTGGTTTTTCTTTCCTTCTTAGCAGCTGTGCAGTTTAGCTGTGATTTGGCTGGCTCTGCAGTCTCTTGCGAGTAACTATGGGCTTGTCAGATGGTTATGGCAGTCTGGCTCCCTGTTGCTTCACCTCTTTTACTGAATTTAAGAACTTTGCACATCTTTCAGTAGCATTTTTGCTTCTATCTTGCAAGTATTTATTGTTTCTTCTTTTAAAGTAGGTATAATAAGTTATTATCAGGTGAGAGTTTTCAGTTTAGCTTTTTTTTCCGTTTAGTAGCTATTATGGTTATTAATTACATGTAATTTTAAAAAATCCTAATAACTTTTAAGAGTAGCTTGATCAAGCCTTCTTTGTTTCAAATGATTTCTTAGGATTTTGCTTGTGAGATTCTTTCCTTTACATTATCTATTTCCATGTGTTTAACTCAAACAGAATACCCTGTCATTTTCTGCTTAATTAAACTGAGGTACAAAATCATTATAGTATGCTTATGAAAAACCTTTGTTAAGCAAAATTTCTAAGACATGAAAACAAAACAAAAGATGATTGTGTGATATTCACAGTACTGTAGATCATTATGTGACAAACAGAGGAATGAAACATTTGTAGGCTTATTATTTGCTGCTTACTATATTTTACAACTTTGTCACCTTAGGATTTAATGTACAGAAAACTGATAGTTGTGATTTCTTTCCCCTCTAGTGGAAAAAATAAAATAAAATGTTAGTTTTATTGCCTTGCCGCACATTGGAAAAAAAATTGTTACTGATTTGCCAATCTCATTCTCCGTAATTATTTCATGAAGAATGCAAAAATCCCAATTTTTTAAGTTCAACTTGTTTATGTGTATACATTTGTAATAGAACAGCAGCCACTGATCTACTTTCTGTCTCTGTACATTTACCTATTCTGAACATATATATAAAAATGGAATCATATAATAGGTGATATTTTGTGACTAGCTTCTTTCATTTTACAGGTTATCAAGGTTCATCCATGTTGTAGCATATGTCAATACTTAATTCCTTTTTATTCCCCAGTAGCATTTCATTATATGGCTATACCATACATCTCATTTTTTTTTCTATAAAAATGAACATTTAGGTTGTTTATTTGGCCATCAGGAATAATGGTGCTATGAACATTCATGTTTAAGTTTTTGTGTAGATACATGTTTTCATTTCTCTTGAGTATATACCTAGGAGTGGAATTGATGGGTTATAAATGTTAA